GCTCTATCCCATTGTGGGAGGGAATTAGGTACCCTCATATCACGTTCCCATTGTAATTTAGTTTGGGAGTTTCTGTCAGGAGCAGCAGAACATAATAATTTATGCATTGCTGAGACTGTACCTTTCCTGACAGCAATTTCCCTTAATTTGTTTTCTAAATCAATTTTATTCCCTAACACTTTGGAGAGTAAAGGTTTCATGACAGATTTTATTTGTAGATATGACAGAAATTCTGTATGTATCAGTCCAAATTGTGATTTTAAATCATTAAACAGGATAATGCTGCCATCACTAATTACTTGGCCCAACTGACTTATATTATGCTGTTGCCATACTTTATTCTTAAGAGGTTTACCTCCCGTGGTAAACAAGGGATTATTCCACAGTGGACATAATGGTAAAGAATTTTGACTACATCACATGAGAGCTGTAAGGCTGGATTATTCATTCTGGAAATGACTTTGGAATTATACTATAAAACTGTTAAGGTTATGGCTTTGTTATAAGCTTTGAGAATATTTTCCTCAAGCCACTCCCAACTGCCAATCTCTCATAGGCCCACTGCAGGGGATATCTAGAATTAAATGCTATATAATATTGGTATATATCTGGAAGTCCTAATCCTCCTTTAATTCTTGGGTTGTTTAATTTTTTATTACTAATTTTTATGACTTCTGATCTTCCCCAGCGGGATAGAGGTAAAACTGTCCACCTTTCAATGTCTTCCCTGACTGTTTTAAGAAGTTCTGGTGCATTTATATCAACAATTTTGCTAATTGGAGATCGTATTTTAATTCCTAGATATTTCATACCTTGGGGGGTCCACTTAAAAGGGGATGTGCCCAAATGTGTTTGGTAAGTGAGATGGTTGAGTGGGATGGCCTCACTCTTACTGTAGTTGGTCCTGTATCCAGAAAACTGTCCAAATGTGTCAATAAGCTTTAGTACTTGCAGAATAGAATACATTGGGTTTGATAATGTCAACAATATGTCATCAGCAAAAAGGCTGGCTTTGAAATCATAATCACTTATACTAATACCGGTTATATTCTTTTGGGCACATATGGCACAAGCAAGAGGCTCGAGGGCAAGTATAAAAATGGCCGGGGATGCCGGACAGCCTTGGCGTGTAGACCGATAAAGATGAAATAGGTCAGACTTTATGCCATTTGTTTTAACTGATGCAACTGGTTCATGGTAAAGTGCTTTTATCCAATTTATACATACCGGGCCAAAGCCATATTTAGACAATACATAAAAAAATACTTCCATTCTACTCTATCGAAGAGGCTTTCTCCAGCATCCGCGCACAGCTATCGCCTGGTGCTGATAAGTCTCTGCCCTAAGCCATTACATGTAGAAGCCTCCTTATATTATTTGATGCCATTGGCGACTTCGTTAAGCCTGTTGGTCAATATGTATCAAGAGAAGTTCCATGACATTATCCATTCGCTTGCCGAAAGGATTCTTTGCCAAATAATTTTAATCACGTATTAAAAACTCAAGGGTCTGTAATTACTCATTGCAAATGGGTCCTTGTCTGGCTTAGGCAATTAAAGAGATAGTTGCTTGGCCACATGGTTAATGCATGGATTGACTTGATTATTATGTCATTGAAAAAGCAGATGTTAGAATGTGGTATAAGCTGTCTTGGAAACATTTATAAAAACTCTGCCCTGTATAACCATCATCGCCTTGTGTCTTACCAGGCTGAACAGAATTTAACAGAATTACGAGATTTTACTTCAGAATTGATTAATTTGGTTTTGGTCACACTAAAGACCCATCCTCATCTTTAATACTTGTAATTGGAACTGGCGATTTTCTTGCTGTTTAAGTCTTAAAGGCGAGTAATTTACCAGCCTTGTCCACCAAGCCTCAAAGTGTCTTCGGCGTAGCTGAAAAAGAGCAAATGCATTTTCTTCATGTAAAATTGTTTGTAAGTCTGTTTTATAATCATAATTGAGTTCTTTAATTGAGGGTTATCTGGGTCCAACATATGTTTGATTCTAGGGATTTTGAGTTCCTTACTCAGACCATGGTTTCCTTCAGACTTTTTTATCATGAGTTAGTGGTCCAAACACAAAGAATAATAATTATATCAGATATCTGAGACTGGCAGCAAGTTCCAGTTGACTTCCCTGCTCAAATGTGCATGGCATGTATCAATACTGGAAAAAGACCTTGTGGGTTAAAGTTCTATATTCTTTCTATATAAACAACATTGTTTGAAGCAGTATAATCATCATTGTTCCTGAACTTGTTGTCAATTAAGTCTTGATTCAGAGCGGTTGAGGCACTAACGGCGTGCACACTATGACTTTAAGGCGTTAGTTTGTAACTCTAAGGCTTTCCAATTAAAGTCTACAATACAATACAGTCAAATACAATTCAGGATGGAAGTAATTGATCTAAAATCTCCGTTGCGCCACGCCTGCCAGGCTCTTGAACAGAAGGCTGCCACTGAAACGTGCTCCTCGCATCATGAAGATCTTCTTGGTGAGGTCATTGATGCACCCATTATGCCACATTTTATTTAGAGCGTAATCGAATAACGCATGCTCTGCTTGTGGTTGGCTATGAGTGCATTGTGAAGGGCTGTTATGCTCCACAGATGGCATGTGACAACACAGCAGGCCATATGCTGGGTGATCA